TGTAAAGATCGTCCTGACAGTAAACTTCAGGCAAGTGTACCGCTAACTTGTAAGATCGTCCTGACAGTAAACTTCAGGCAGGTGTACCGCTAACTTGTAAGATCGTCCTGACAGTAAACTTCAGGCAGGTGTACCACTAACTTGTAAGGTCGTCCTGACAGTAAACTTCAGGCAGGTGTACCGCTTAACTTGTAAGGTCGTCCTGACAGTAAACTTCAGGCAGGTGTACCACTAACTTGTAAGGTCGTCCTGACAGTAAACTTCAGGCAGGTGTACGCTAACTTGTAAGTCGTCCTGACAGTAAACTTCAGGCAGGTGTACCCTAACTTGTAAGATCGTCCTGACAGTAAACTTCAGGCAGGTGTACCACTAACTTGTAAGGTCGTCCTGACAGTAAACTTCAGGCAGGTGTACCGCTAACTTGTAAGATCGTCCTGACAGTAAACTTCAGGCAGGTGTACCGCTAACTTGTAAGATCGTCCTGACAGTAAACTTCAGGCAGGTGTACCGCTAACTTGTAAGATCGTCCTGACAGTAAACTTCAGGCAGGTGTACCGCTAACTTGTAAAATCGTCCTGACAGTAAACTTCCAGGTAAGTGTACCGCTAACTTGTAAGATCATCCTGACAGTAAACTTCAGGCAGGTGTACCGCTAACTTGTAAGATCGTCCTGACAGTAAACTTCCAGGTTAGTGTACCGCTAACTTGTAAGATCATCCTGACAGTAAAATTCAGGCAGGTGTACCGCTAACTTGTAAGATCGTCCTGACAGTAAACTTCAGGCAAGTGTACCACTAACTTGTAAGATCGTCCTGACAGTAAACTTCAGGCAGGTGTACCGCTAACTTGTAAGATCGTCCTGACAGTAAACTTCAGGCAGGTGTACTGCTAACTTGTAAGATCATCCTGACAGTAAACTTCAGGCAGGTGTACCGCTAACTTGTAAAATCGTCCTGACAGTAAACTTCCAGGTAAGTGTACCGCTAACTTGTAAGATCATCCTGACAGTAAACTTCAGGCAGGTGTACCGCTAACTTGTAAGATCATCCTGACAGTAAACTTCAGGCAGGTGTACCACTAACTTGTAAGGTCATCCTGACAGTAAACTTCAGGCAGGTGTACCACTAACTTGTAAGATCGTCCTGACAGTAAACTTCAGGCAGGTGTACCGCTAACTTGTAAGATCGTCCTGACAGTAAACTTCCATTCAGGTGTACCGCTAACTTGTAAGATCATCCTGACAGTAAACTTCAGGCAGGTGTTCCGCTAACTTGTAAGATCGTCCTGACAGTAAACTTCCAGGCAGGTGTTGATGGCTGCCATAGCCCATAGTACTGGTAAGATATACAGTTTTGCTGGATAAAAACCCCAAGATCATTCCATGATTTTTTCATGATTTCATACAATTGTTTTCAATTTCCATGATTTTTCCAAGACTGGAAAATGGTGTGTGAAAGTTCCAGGTTTTCCAGGTCTTGTGGGAACCCTGATGTCAATACAACTTGGTATGTATTTGACTTTCAATCAGGGGAGGTGAAAATCTGATGTGATTATTTGACTGACAATCATGTTGATTATGTCACAGAAATACAAGTCAGAAAGATACTGATAAAAAATATTTATTAAAAAGGAATAAAAATACAAAACATTGTTACATGTTTCTAAAAAAATATATTCAAAATGTAATGTAGCCCGGTTAAAATAAGGGTCTTGCTTACCCACTGCCAGTCTAACTGGCATTTGTTCTTATTATGCAAAACTCTCAGCCGACTTTCCAGGTTGTAATGGACATCCCAGAAACTACGCTGCAACCAGATGAGCAACAGACAGTCAGATTGCACATTTCACATAGCGCCCCATACAGCTGATGTTGGGTGTGTCACGTCCTATCAGTTCATAATTCCTTAACATGAGTGACAGTGTTGATAAATATATTAAAAGTGATCTCATATCACCATATCACAATAAGTGGTAGATACAGAACACAATAAATATCATGTTCTGAACTTGAGGATAACATTCGATGTGAAACCATTAAGCACATGTACAATGCCATAATTCAGTATGCATAACTCAGTTGACTTCAAGAATGTCCCTCTTGTGAATGAATACACTACTCCTGCATGTCACAAGAAGATTTTGGTACATAAAGAAAAATCATTTGACACTTTCTGTGTTCTAATTGCTTGTATGGTAATGGTTAGGCCACATACAAAAATATTCTTGTTTCTCATCCCTTTTTCCAAAATAAATATCAGCTGGGCAGGTGGGTGAATTTATTTTTACATTTTAATTTATTTTTTGTCCAAAAACCCCTTGACTTCTGTGGAAATTTACACCTTTTCTCCAACAAAAAATCAAAACTTAAAAGGGTAATAAAATCCATGCACATTTTCAAAGTCAAAGATGCTTTTTTTTCTAGTGTAAATTTTTTTTAAATATCTCGGGTCGGACGAATTTTTGGTCGAGCGATAATGAAAAACTTGAATATTTGTATATATGGCCTCTCTGGTCCCAATGGATCTCAGACAGTACAGACACTGTACTGTGTGATCTTACTGATTACATGTGATCATGGACATTGTTCATCAACCACTGGTATGTAGAGCCCTGATTGGATTAGCCACACTGAGATATGTGATCACTGCCCCTGCCAGCTGTAGAGGGGACACACAGGAGGGAGCCAACCCCCTCCTTTAGGCACCTGGATGATACTTGTCCAGAAGTGTACACAGCTACCACAGGTATATTGGACTGGACCTTTCCACACAGAATGCATAACCATGCAAGTTCATGATAATTTACAGATTTGTTGCACTTTGGAATAATAAACACAAAATATTTCTGAACATTGAAATACACCTGTACATGTGGGAGGTATGTAATCTCTTTGACTGCATACCAACAAGACCATGGTAAACATGTCAAATACAGGGATGAGAGCATTGTAAAACAGCTCTCCCATAGGGATGAGAGCATGGTAAAGCGACTATCCTATAGGGATGAGAGCATGGTAAAGCAACTCTCCTATAGGGATGAGACACAGGTCAGGATTGTATAACTATTAAAATATACATATAATATAATATGGATTTCTTAAATCTGAAATTACTGCTGTAAAAAAAAATTGTTTTGAAATAATAATGATTGTAAATACTGTACGATACACGAAAGCTATCATGTATTATTTCATTATGAAAATCAATGTCTGTGTAGTTAACTTGAATCAACAGTGTCATTTCCACACACTTTAAAACACAGCATTTCATTTAAATCTGTGGCGCACATTCTCATCAATTCATGTCACACACACAAATGCCCAAATTAAGGCCACTCTCTCTTAAAGGTCAGTTAAACTTGAGGTGAGTGATTCAAAATGACATGTGACTCTGCAACAACTACTTGTGTCTGGGACACAATGTCAGCGACACATGCTTGTGTCTGAGACACAATGTCAGTGACACATGCTTGTGTCTGAGACACAATGTCAGCAACACATGCTTGTGTCTGAGACACAATGTCAGTGACACATGCTTGTGTCTGAGACACAATGTCAGTGACACATGCTTGTGTCTCAGACACAATGTCAGTAACACATGCTTGTGTCTGAGACACAATGTCAGTAAAACATGCTTGAGTCTGAGACACACTGTGTGTGTTATTAGAACCAACCTTTTTAAAAAGGTCCATCTACATGAAAGTTGTTACCACCAATCAACAATCAGCATTATTCTGTATCATCAAAGATGATTTCATATCACAGATAATGGTCGCTAGTCAGACTACACTCTAGAAATAAATACTACTAATTGACAGCATTCTCAACCACGTCTTGCCTGGCTGCTACATCTCTTGACTCTACTTAGTGATCAACAACTTTTCATCTTGAGTACTGAAAATGTGTTAAAAGAATCATAACTATCTGACTGCATCCTACATCAGTAACCGCACATGCTGGTGAGATCAGCCACTGTTCTCACTTCTCTCCGTCCAGATGAATAAGCCATGTATGTTTTCTAAACTCCTATTTGGCAATACTCACACTCACTGTGCCTTTTACAATTGTGTACAAATTATGAGGTGAGGTGAAATTGAATTTAACGTCGTGCTTAAGAATATTTCGCTCATATGACGACGTGCATGCGTGTGTATGTGTATGTGCGGCTGCTTGTACTAGCCTAGACTGAAGCTGGTTTTATAGTACTAGCCCACTGAGATACCATGCCGCAGTGAAGCATGAATACCCCACACAGACACATTATACGCACTCCGAGCCGACCAGTCCTTGTTGTACCCATTAATGCCGAGCGCCAGGCAGGGACCAACAAGTACCATATTTTAACGTCTTTTGGTATGACGCGGTCAGGGATCGAACCCTCAACCTTCCGCTCTCCGAGCGGACGCTCCAACCACTACACCACGGAGGTGGTCGTAAAAACTATGAAAGGATGAGGTATGGTATAGGGAATCAAAATATGCATCATTTAAGAAATTAACAAAGCATTTAGAAATGAAAGTTTCCTGACACACATATATATACATGAATGAGTATTAGACTTTGATAATGTCACCACATGTATATTTTGGAGAGCACTAAGGACAAATGTAACAAAAGGTTGATCTCATGCGTTTTCCAGTATAGTTTATAAATATACACAAAGAACTTAGTTAAGCTCCCCCTGACATAGCTCACGATTGAATGAGCCTTGATCTTAACCCTTTGGACTGCATATCTGGGCCATGACTGGTCGTTGTGTGCAACAAAGGGATCCTCCTGTACAGAACCTGGCCAAATTGGAAGCTGCTTTCAGAATGCCCCTTCAGAGGAACAGGAGGCTGACAGGGGGTATGTGGAGGAGAGTGCTGGCTGTCATACAGTCACATGGAGATTACACTCATATTGACCTTGAATCATGTAAGATATGCAAAATGACATTTCGAATGTTCACATTCACCAATAAATTCAACATTAAACATTCCAGGATCATACTTGTACATACATGCTTTTGAAAATCAGTGTTGTTGTTTTTAAAATGAGCAATTATCATCATAAAATCAACATGGATTGCAATCACTTTGTCATTTTTGATGAGTCGAAGGATCATACGGGTGAAAACAAACTCCTGTTTTTCCATTGTGGTCACCATGAGAAGTTTTGTGTAGGTGTTGAAAACCTATCTTTGCAAAAATACAGGGGGTGCTTAATTAAGTACTTTGTGTATATATGAACACGAGCTAGTTTTTAATCCATGCTGATATTCTTAGGAAATGTGTGGAGAGATAAACCATGCTGGATTCTTTACTTGTTCATAGTTTGACTTAGTCATCTATTCATGTGAACTTGAACAAGCCAGTTGAATACCCACTTGGAGTGTTTAAGGAAGAAAAGGTTGGTATCCACCACTTTACCATACATACATTAGTAGGAAGTGTTCCACAAAAACTAACTGTAACTATACCACATGAGCCCTTGTCTACCTCACACTAACATTGGGGATATACTTCTCAAATAAAATAAACGTTTGCATCAGAACACATCTGGAATGTCAATATAAACATGATGTAAAATAACAAATATATATCATGCCTTGTGCCTGCTAAAGTATAAGGTCAACAAATTATAAAACAGTCATAATATTTTCTTGTTTCTACATCGAGTGAGTAAAGTAACTTCTGTTTATGTTGCATGGCAACATTTCAGTTCGTTTTCTTGTTGCTATGGATGTTGATTGAAGTTTCTAAATGCAGCTGTTCAGCTACTTCTCATGGCAGTCGACCAGGTGTTTGATGTAGTGGTACACATAGAACACCTGAAACACACAACAGTGACATATACAGACATACATCGCCAAACTATAACAGTGAGTGAGTATGGTTTTACACCGATTTTATCAATATTCCAGCGATATCACGGCGGGGGACACCAGAAATGGGCTTCACACATTCTGCCTATGTGAAGAATCGAACCCGGGTCTTCGGCATGACAAGCTTAAGCTTTAACCACTAAGCTACCCCTTCCCATGAACTATACATTCATTTGGGAAATGACCTTCAATTGAGACAATTCAAGGAGAAAGAAAATATTGCAATGGTATTGCAATAGTTGGTCTCAATATCACAATAGCAATGTAGTATGTTGCAATAGTTGGTCACAATATCACAATAGTAACGTAGTATGTTGCAATAGTTGGTCACAATATCACAATAGCAATGTAGTATGTTGCAATAGTTGGTCACAATATCACAATAGTAATGTAGTATGTTGCAATAGTTGGTCACAATATCACAATAGTAACGTAGTATGTTGCAATAGTTGGTCACAATATCACAATAGCAATGTAGTATGTTGCAATAGTTGGTCACAATATCACAATAGCAATGTAGTATGTTGCAATAGTTGGTCACAATATCACAATAGTAACGTAGTATGTTGTAATAGTTGGTCACAATATCACAATAGAAATGTAGTATGTTGCAATAGTTGGTCACAATATCACAATAGTAACGTAGTATGTTGCAATAGTTGGTCACAATATCACAATAGCAATGTAGTATGTTGCAATAGTTGGTCACAATATCACAATAGCAATGTAGTATGTTGCAATAGTTGGTCACAATATCACAATAGCAATGTAGTATGTTGCAATAGTTGGTCACAATATCACAATAGCAACGTAGTATGTTGCAATAGTTGGTCACAATATCACAATAGCAATGTAGTATGTTGCAATAGTTGGTCACAATATCACAATAGTAACGTAGTATGTTGCAATAGTTGGTCACAATATCACAATAGTAATGTAGTATGTTGCAATAGTTGGTCACAATATCACAATAGCAATGTAGTATGTTGCAATAGTTGGTCACAATATCACAATAGCAATGTAGTATGTTGCAATAGTTGGTCACAATATCACAATAGTAACGTGAGTATGTTGTAATAGTTGGTCACAATATCACAATAGCAATGTAGTATGTTGCAATAGTTGGTCACAATATCACAATAGTAACGTGAGTATGTTGCAATAGTTGGTCACAATATCACAATAGTAACGTAGTATGTTGCAATAGTTGGTCACAATATCACAATAGTAATGTAGTATGTTGCAATAGTTGGTCACAATATCACAATAGTAACGTAGTATGTTGCAAAAGTTGGTCACAATATCACAATAGCAATGTAGTATGTTGCAATAGTTGGTCACAATATCACAATAGCAATGTAGTATGTTGCAATAGTTGGTCACAATATCACAATAGTAATGTAGTATGTTGCAATAGTTGGTCACAATATCGCAATAGTAATGTAGTATGTTGCAATAGTTGGTCACAATATCGCAACAGTACAGCAGTGTAACGAATAATACTGAGCCTAAGTTTACTTAGACTGTAAAATAAATCAGCTGCCTGCTGATAACCCGTTGACTTGAGAGAGTGAGTTAGTGAGTTAAAATTTAACATCACCTCGGCAATATTTCAGCCATATAGTGATGACTTGAGAGATGACAAATAGTGCACTTCAAAACGAGGGAGAGATATTACTCCGCATGTGCAATAATTTGGGTACCCTGCATTGAGTAACACATTTTACACAAAGTATTGCAGTTATTATTTTTGCCACATAAACAAAATTTGTTTGAAGGAAACAAATGACATGCAATAACATGTGCTATTTGCTAGAGATAATACAATGAATTGCAGACTTCTTACCTCTACACTTAAGCAGATAGTTCGTCCTATGGTGAAGACTGCGATGCCCACGTAAACGAAGACATCTGGTACCCCTAGTGTGAGACTCAGCACCCCCATCTCATACATGTACATCCATATGGGCAGGATGTGCAGGCTCCCGACTGCATAGCATCCCAGGGGGCTCTTGAAGCCTGCAATACAGAGTTATACTTTGTAGCACACCCACATACATTCCTCTAGTACACTTTGTTCAAGTTGGACGAGTGTGCGGAACTCACCATTAGCCATGACCAGTTGGACGAGGGTAGGGAACTCACCATTAGCCATGACAGTTTGACAAGAGTAGGGAACTCACTATTAGCCATAACCAGTTGGACGAGGGTAGTGAACTCACCATTAGCCATGACAGTTAAACGAGAGTAGGGCACTCACCATTAGCCATGACCAGATGGACAGTAGTAGGGAACTCACCATTAGCCATAACCAGTTGGACGAGGGTAGTGAACTCACCATTAGCCATGACAGTTACAAGAGAGTAGGGCACTCACCATTAGCCATGACCTGACCAGTTGGATGAGGGAAGGGAGCTCACCATTAGCCATGACCAGATGGACAGTAGTAGGGAACTCATCGTTAGCCATGACCAGTTGGACAAGGGTAGGTAACTCACCATTAGCCATGACCAGTTGGACAAGGGTAGGGAACTCACCATTAGCCATGACCAGTTGGATGAGGGTAGGGAACTCACCATTAGCCATGACCAGTTGGACAGTAGTAGGGAACTCACCATTAGCCATGACCAGTTGGACAAGGGTAGAGAACTCACCATTAACCATGACCAGTTGGACGAGGGTAGGGAACTGACCATTAGTCATGACCAGTTGGACAAGGGTAGGGAACTCACCATTAGCCATGACCAGTTGGACGAGGGTAGGGAAATGCTCCTCTGTCACCTTCCAGTTGGAGCCCCTGCTGTGTGTGCTCATGAATGTAATCCATTCTACAAACACCACCAGGTAGCCCCACTGAAACACATGAAGCACTCCACATCAGTGTACCAGCTTCATACACAGCTGATCAACATACAGGGCAGGCTCCACAATGTCCAGTAGGTCAGTCGCTAGAGCAACATAATCTACTAGGAGATTCTCATTTAGCCATATCTCATCAAGATAAACAATCTGATATACTATATATTGGTTATACAGATGACTATGAACATCTTCCTCAACACTTGCCACTTTGTGAAAAAATCCCATTTCCGCAGGTGCAACAGTGAGTGAGTTTAGATTTAAGCTGCTTTCAGCAATATTCCAGCAATATCATGGTGGGTGACACCAGAAATGGGCTTCACACATTGTACCCAAGTTTGGAAATGAACCAAGGTCTTCATCGTGACAAGCAAACACTTGAACCACTAGGCTACCAAGACATACCTCCAACAGTAAGAGTTATTGTATCTGTGATCTCTACTCAGATGGTGATCATATTGTAGTTTCTTACAGGTAGTCCAGGATCATTCTGTTACTTACAACAATCATACCATTGGGATATGTGATTGACTGACTTACTTTGTTTGAAAATTTCAATATGACAAAAAACACATTTTGTTCTGGTCTGATTCCCTGTGATGGCTGTGACCAGTAATCCAACCCTATTTTCACCTCATACACACAAAATGGCCACACTTTGAGGGCCCCGACTGCTATACCACCGTGTCCCCATACCTTGTACAGTGAACACCAGAGCAGGCCTCGGCTGAAGTTGTCAATCACAATGTCAAACTGGAAATAAAGAGACCAGAATGCACAACAAAGCTACATAAGTTGTGTAAGTGTCACCCAGCAAGTGATATCATGAAGGCACAACAAGAGTCTATCATTTAGAATTACCTCTCTGCTGAATCAATGTCATTTGACCAATTCTAATTACTTACTTCGACATTATATACAGTGAAGTTCTGTTAGACCAGAAACCAACAAACCAAGGGAGATTACTCTGTGCCCATTGAACTTTATGACCGGGCCCTTGTTTATCAGGACACTCACTGGGCAGAGTAGCATATGGATTAAAAGGGTGTCACTGTTTTATATAATGAATGTTGCTATTACCCATGCTCCGAAGATCGACGTCTGGTTTAGTTTCCTTGCTGCATACCCATCAATTCCTAGGAGAAAAACACAAAATGATTGTTATTATATTTGGCAAACATGGATGCAATTTCTGTGTAACTTCTTTAACTTCCTTCAGGCCTAACTATTTTACTTCCTGCTGGTGAGCGAGTTGGTATAAGCAGAGCAAGGCTCTTACAAACACTGAATCATAAGATTGGGGGGAAGGGGGGAGAATTTCTACTGACATAAGATTTCATTTTCTTCCAAAACTGTCTTGAATTGTTCCAGTTTAATGTCAACATCGCCTTAGAATCATTCTTCATTTGAATTGACATTCTTTTCTACATCTATTTCTGCAATCATTAATCAATGATTGACCAATGGAATTTGTCCTTGGTGACCTTGAACTCTGACCTATGCCTGTCACACAGGAGGTCATCAGCCTTCAGTTGACTAGTGAGGCTCTCAGTCAATCACACAACAGAGTAGGGGTGAAACGGTATACCGCGGTATTAGTAGAACCGCGGTATTTTGCCTTTTGTTCAGTATATCGTAATGCAATCCGAAAATTCGGTATTTTCAGTTTTCGTACCGTCATTTTATTAACCTTTTTAAACCTTTTCAAAAATCAAATCATTTTGTCAAAATCTATGCATTTCTTTGCTAGATGGCCGCTATTTTCCCGGAAGTAATTTCTCATACACCGAACCGAAACGGACCGAACCAATGGCCTTGTACCACAATATGTACCATACCGTGGTAAGAGCGCACCGTTTCACCCCTACAACTGAGCTGTTTTAATACAAATAGACACCTGTTCGTTTACAGTAGTACACAGGTTTATTTGTGTTTGTTTTTGTTTTGTTTTTAAATTGCTTTATTGCTGTTGAGTACATGAACTTAAAAAACTGTACAACATTATGAGATATCTTGGTACACAAGCTATGGTGGATTTGAGATACCCATGATCACCTCAATGAACACACACTGTGCAAAGATGGCATTGGTAATGGTCGACAACACTAATGTACACTGAGGCTTGTCTCCATGTGACAACACTAATGTACACTGAGGCTTGTCTCCATGTGACAACACACTGTACACTGAGGCTTGTCTCCATGACAACACTAATGTACACTGAGTGACAACACTAATGTACACTGAGGCTTGTCTCCATGTGACAACACTAATGTACACTGAGGCTTGTCTCCATCCAACAACACTAATGTACACTGAGGCTTGTCTCCATGTGACAACACTAATGTACACTGAGGCTTGTCTCCATGTGACAACACTAATGTACACTGAGGCTTGTCTCCATGTGACAACACTAATGTACACTGAGGCTTGTCTCCATGGACTTGTCTCCATGTGACAACACTAATGTACACTGAGGCTTGTCTCCATGTACACTCTTGTCTCCATGTGACAACACTAATGTACACTGAGGCTTGTCTCCATGTGACAACACTAATGTACACTGAGGCTTGTCTCCATGTGACAACACTAATGTACACTGAGGCTTGTCTCCATGTGACAACACTAATGTACACTGAGGCTTGTCTCCATGTGACAACACTAATGTACACTGAGGCTTGTCTCCATGTGACAACACTAAATGTGTCTCCATGTGACAACACTAATGTACACTGAGGCTTGTCTCCATGTGACAACACTAAGGCTTGTCTCCATGTGACAACACTAATGTACACTGAGGCTTGTCTCCATGTGACAACACTAATGTACACTGAGGCTTGTCTCCATGTGACAACACTAATGTACACTGAGGCTTGTCTCCATGTGACAACACTAATGTACACTGAGGCTTGTCTCCATGTGACAACACTAATGTACACTGAGGCTTGTCTCCATGTGACAACACTAATGTACACTGAGGCTTGTCTCCATGTGACAACACTGAGGCTTGTCTCCATGTGACAACACTAATGTACACTGAGGCTTGTCTCCATGTGACAACACTAATGTACACTGAGGCTTGTCTCCATGTGACAACACTAATGTACACTGAGGCTTGTCTCCATGTGACAACACTAATGTACACTGAGGCTTGTCTCCATGTGACAACACTAATGTACACTGAGGCTTGTCTTGTCTCCATGTGACAACACTAATGTACACTGAGGCTTGTCTCCATGTGACAACACTAATGTACACTGAGGCTTGTCTCCATGTGACAACACTAATGTACACTGAGGCTTGTCTCCATGTGACAACACTAATGTACACTGAGGCTTGTCTCCATGTGACAACACTAATGTACACTGAGGCTTGTCTCCATGTGACAACACTAATGTACACTGATGTACACTGAGGCTTGTCTCCATGTGACAACACTAATGTCTCCATGTGACACACTAATGTACACTGTCTCCATGTGACAACACTAATGTACACTGCTTGTCTCCATGTGACAACAACACTAATGTGACAACACTAAGGCTTGTCTCCATGTGACAACACTAATGTACACTGAGGCTTGTCTCCATGTGACAACACTAATGTACACTGAGGCTTGTCTCCATGTGACAACACTAATGTACGCTGAGGCTTGTCTCCATGTGACAACACTAATGTACACTGAGGCTTGTCTCCATGTGACAACACTAATGTACACTGAGGCTTGTCTCCATGTGACAACACTAATGTACACTGAGGCTTGTCTCCATGTGACAACACTAATGTACACTGAGGCTTGTCTCCATGTGACAACACTAATGTACACTGAGGCTTGTCTCCATGTGAACACTAATGTACACTGAGGCTTGTCTCCATGTGACAACACTAATGTACACTGAGGCTTGTCTCCATGTGACAACACTAATGTACACTGAGGCTCTCCATGTGACAACACTAATGTACACTGAGGCTTGTCTCCATGTGACAACACTAATGTACACTGAGGCTTGTCTCCATGTGACAACACTAATGTACACTGAGGCTTGTCTCCATGTGACAACACTAATGTACACTGAGGCTTGTCTCCATGTGACAACACTAATGTACACTGAGGCTTGTCTCCACAACACTAAAGTAAGGCTTGTCTCCATGTGACAACACTAATGTACACTGAGGCTTGTCTCCATGTGACAACACTAATGTACACTGAAGGGCTTGTCTCCATGTGACAACACTAATGTACACTGAGGCTTGTCTCCATGTGACAACACTAATGTACACTGAGGCTTGTCTCCATGTGACAACACTAATGTACACTGAGGCTTGTCTCCATGTGACAACACTAATGTACATGTGACAACACTAATGTACACTGAGGCTTGTCTGAGGCTTGTCTCCATGTGACAACACTAATGTACACTGTACACTGAGGCTTGTCTGCAAGCTCTGTTTCCCACAAGCATGTCTCCTGCAACATATCTGTTAGGTACCATTGCTTACCATCTAGAAGTGCTGAAATTCCATAAAGGATGGTGCAAGCGATAGGATGGTGGAAGAATATAATGGCAACATATAATGATACCAAAAATGTCGCACTCATTGCCATAAAGAAGTTGACTATCCATAGAACTTGGTTTTTCCTTCATCTCTACAACTTCTAAAATGCCTCTCAAAGAACTGATGTCTGATAAGTCGATTCATTATTGAGACGTATGTACATATTTCTATAAATGTTGACTGCTTCTGGTGTCATAGCTTTCCATGGTGTCTCACAGCTGTCTAAATGCACACAGAACTGCAGAAAATATAAAAGGAAAGTTGAAATACATAAATCTACTGTCAAACAAAGTTTCCAGCTATATCACAGCAGTAAATAATGAAGTCTGGATCGTGCAGACCAGTGGATATACGAGCAATGTTGTTGGGGTATGATGGTATGGTGACATACCACCCAGTGATTGAGTTGACTACCCGTCCAACAAGTGACCTCGTACAACCAGCATTACACTCCCATTATTAATTATTCTAAAGAAGTATTCTACTTAATAATACCTGTGAGAAGTATTTACAAGTCAGTGTTGTATCAAAGTAAAATTAACATGCAGCAAACACTGTGAAGATCTGAAAATTTGCATCCTTAAATATATATCAGTTTTAGATTAACTGACAAGCTGGTGAGATTAGAGACAATAGATGACTTATCACCACTCTGGGATCTGGGTATCAGTGCCCATCACATGAGTCAACTACAAAGGGCAACATCACGGTATCTACAATGGCTATGTACACATTATATGAAATAACATCAGCTACGAGCCTTCCTATACACTTGCTGATGAAGACAGCGACAAGGTCATGACTTGTGGAACAACATTGATTTGGAAATGACAAAAAGATTCAGGGCTTGAAAACTTCAAACATCTGTACTCACCCTGTAGGGCGAGTAATATGAACTTTCCACTCGTCTTTCTAAAATTGTACTTTCCCTATAGATCTTGCATCACAATGAATGTAACATTAATTTATTTTATTTCAAAATGTTTGCTTGGAATAAAACTACAATAAACAGTACTTACTTTGCCTTCTGTACAAAATCTTTGACAAAATTGAATTCGTTCACCATTTAAGATAGCTGAAGGAAAAAGAAAAATGTTACTTTAGGGTCAGAAAACGTACTCGTCCTCTAGGACGAGCAAATTATGTTTTTCACTCGCCCGAAACAAATTTTACTCGTCAATACGAGCGGAGTGGAATTTTCGAGCCCTGAAGATTTTAATCAGTTATATTATACCAACACTAATATTCATGAATATCAATCACATCTCTCCAAACCTTATAAGTGACCACACAAAATAAGAGGCATTGTTGAAAACATAGCTTACCATCTAAAAGTACTGAAATTCCATAAAGGATGGTGCAAGCAACAGGATGGTGGAAGAATATAATGGCAACACTGGCCAACACTATTCTGACGTAACCTGCAACACAAAAACAATTAATAATGAATTTCAGCATTATTTTCCATTGCAGAATTTCTAGAACTCTGTCTACCAGACCCTTGAGAATGAATTACAACTGAATCCAGCTCAAGTCAACTGATTTTGCAAGTATAGATTGCCTCAGCAAAAAAGCAAGAAAAGCATCATTCTAAGCTTTGTTTGGATTTTACTTTTATCTGTTAGATAACTTTACTTCTGTGAGTACATGTTGCTTTAAGTTTCTACGACAACTTTATTGATACTTGGGGTCACTTACTTTTTACATAAATTTGGGTGGTGTGTGTGTGTGTGTGGGGGGGTGTCATTCACAATGTACGCTTCTCCATAAAAATCATCATTATACCAGATATCACTGTGTACTGAAGGAAATCAACATACGCAAAATGGACATCGCCAACGTTAATTATTGTCTGTTCATCTACAGTTCTTTGCTTTATGTAATGACATACTAATTTTAAATATATGAATGAATGTGTGAGTTAAGTTTTACGTCACACTCAGCAATATTACAGCTATATGGCGGCAGCCTGTAAATAATCGAGTCTGGACCAGACAATCCAGTGATCAACAGCATGAGCATCGATCTGCGCAACTGGGAACCGATGACATGTGTCAACCAAGCCAGCAAGCCTGACCCCCCCCGATCCTGTTAGTCGCCTCTTACGACAAGCATGGGTTACTGAAGGTTCATTCTAACCCGGACCTTCACGGGTGACTAAATATATGAATAATATTTCATTGTACACATTGGCAATGTGAAATGTTTATGTCTATTTTTAAACAGGTATTATTTGACTCCTTGAGCCTGGAATGGCACTGTATTACTTCACATTTGAGCAAGTGTCAAACTTATTGTCAATTTAAAACTATGTTACATGTTGAGTCTTATCTATCAATTGACATTCCACAACATTTAAGAACTATTATCTGTAAATCCAGGTGTAATAATTTCAGGCTAGCAATTGAAACAGGAAGGCATTGCAATTGAAAGATTTTGCTTATATTGTCATAATAAAAATTTATTTCTTGTTGAAGATGAATTTCATGTCTTGATGATCTGTCAGCGTTATGAAGCCGAAAGAAAATAATGTCTTCATAGTAGTATAAGGAATAGCCCTTCTATGGACAATTTTGTTAAAATTTTGTCAAGTACTGATCAAAATGTAATATTAAGTTTGGCAAGGTTTTTATATAAAGTCTTTAGGATAAAAAACCAACAAATTATAATTGGATCTTCAGTATTTATGCTGAAAAATTGCTTGATAGTTTAGTGTAGCATCTCTATTGTTATTTTACGAGAGCTTTTTTTTGTCTCGTCCGGTGACAATTAAGATACCTGTAACATGACCAGCATGAATACACTTGTTAAAACCCATTTGTAATATGGGCCATGGCCTTGAATACTCAAAATAAATTGTCTGTCTGTCTGTAGTTCCAACATATATTTTGATTTCCAATGCACACAGTTTCTGTTTGTGGCTAGTATAATATTAAAAAACCCACAGAGAACTAGTTACATTTATTGATATCATAATGTCTGTTATGAAAGCAGCATATATATGTTTTATGTATGAAAACCACATCTTCCTCTGCATCATAATTAAACCTTAATTTGCATCAGATGAATATATATTTTTTCTGTTGGTGGTATGTTTGTCTTAAAACCTGTACTGCAGTAAATCTGAGCAATGCGGAACCGGGAGTGTTGCCACGAAGAGATTACATAATATTACTCATCTCGTTAGACTGCAATATATAAAACTTGCCTCAAGCTCAGAGTTGGCCATTATCTCCTTAAACAAAAGATGCGCATTTGACATGTGTGGTGAATACGGTCTGTGTCAACAAGCCGAACTTCTGTCTGACAGTCTTCATTATAAACACGACATGACATGTACCCGTAACTGTAACACCCGTAATGGTGGTGCTCAGCTTTCGATTGCTGACTTACCTATAATATTAGGCACAAACAGCAGCACCTCCCATCCCATCGTGAAGTTTAAACTGGTGGAGGTAAAGGTGACCTCTCACATGATATTACCAGTCATCAGACTCAGCTGTCGTGTAACCCATTGCTTGATGGGAGTTTGTGTTGTCAGCTATTAAGGGTTGTACAAACAACCACGGCTTAGAGGTTACAGCCTTCACCCTTCAAACTGGGCGCTCAAGGTGAAGGTCGCAGTTGTTGGCCAACATGGCGATCAGGAACTACGGGGTGTTTAGTCCCGTGATGTTGTCAACAGTTGTTACAGTTGTGCTATTGGTATCTCATTCCGTCATAGCTTTGCCGAATGTGCGGAGCGAGAGAGAAACATTGATACAAGTAAATATTACCATTACGATGACTTGACAAACTTTCTTCACAATATGGTGAACCAAAACCCAACTATTTCTAAACTTCATGCAGTTGGACAAAGTGTTCAAAACCGGACTCTTTGGGCAATACAGATCTCCGATAAGATCAACGAAACAGAAGTGGGAGAACCAATGTTCAAATATGTTGGAAATATGCACGGAAATGAAGTGATAAGTAAGCAGGTTTTGATATATCTCATACAGTATCTTTTGGAGCAGTATGGACAAGATTCAAGAGTTACACATATTGTTGACAGCACGAATATATTCATCATGCCGACAATGAACCCTGATGGCTTTGAGAACGCCGTTGACGGACAGTGTACAGGTGTTGTTGGAAGACCAAATGCCAATAGCGTGGATCTTAATAGGAATTTTCCAGATCAGTTTCTGAGTCAGCCAGAAAAACCTATGCAGCCAGAAACTCTCACAATGATCAACTGGATTGAATCCAACCCATTCGTCTTATCAGCCAACTTGCATGGTGGCAGTGTTGTAGCTAGCTACCCATTTGATGACTCCAGACTTCACCGACAAGCAGGAAAATACAGTAAAGCAGCCGATGACAGTGTATTCAGGCTCCTAGCTCACACTTATGCTGATAACCATTTGCACATGCACGAAGGCAATATTTGTGATGGTGACAACTTTGTTGCTGAGAGAGGGATAACTAATGGTGCTGAATGGTATGATGTCCCAGGTAAGCAGATATTACAGCACATCATTCTGGCCTAATCAAACCTGTACCAAAAGGTTAAAGTGTGCCACAAACAAATAGAACAAAAAAACATACAGGATTTCGATTTTGATGCTAATTTAATGCGTTATTTCATACTTCATTAACAATATGGCATCGTTTACTTAACAAGATGTTTTGTAATAAAAAAATTGTCTAATTGTATTTTGTAAACAAACATGGCTACCCAGGTAACTGCAATCAACGTCAATGACCTGGTCAAGGTGGACGGATATATTACTAGATGTGTAATGAGAATAATACAACCACTAAATTCCTTTCACATGTATGTGATAAACACTGAACATGGTGAAATGGAAGTCGCAAGGTATAGACTGTAAGTGTTCCCGGGAATGATACAGAGCGAGTCGGCATCTTGCCAAAGTCCCCACTTACCGGAGAGTGTGTTAGATGACGGGGGTCTGGTAATTAAAATCGCCATCAAACGAATTTGGAAACTGTTGAATAGTGTTGTTTTTCATGCTGTTTTCTACAGTACTATATCGTGGTTCGAATGGGATTCCATTAACGTGATTAAGCTTGAGCAGTTTGGTTTCATCTGTGCATTAATACAGATCAGCTGATTTAGTTGTAAACACTTTGAGTTCATTAATACTGTTTTCTCGGATTAATTACAGAATGGGTAATAAATAGAATAACCCACGAGGTACAAGTGATTACGGGAAATATGTCCCTCGGACAAATTTCCCGTAATGACTCATACCTCGTGGGTTCTTCTCTAACTCTTTGTACCTGAACTGAATCCTGTACCTATTGAATCCTTGTGTCTGTACCTATTGCATCCTTATGTCTGTACCTATTGAATCCTTATGTCTGTACCTACTGAATCCTTGTGTCTGTACCTACTGAATCCTTGTGTCTGTACCTACTTATGTCCTTATGTCTGTACCTACTGAATGACCACCTCCGTGGTGTAGTGGTAAGAGCGTCCGCCTGGAGAGCGGAAGGTCGCGGGTTCAATCCCCGACCGCTTCATACCAAAAGACGTTAAAATATGGTACTTGTTGGTCCCTGCCTGGCGCTCGGCATTAATGGGTACAACAAGGACTGGTCGGCTCGGAGTGAGTATAATGTGTCTGTGTGGGGTATTCATGCTTCACTGCGGCATGGTATCTCAGTGAGCTAGCACTCCAAAACCAGCTAAGTCTGGGCTAGTACAAGCAGCCGCACATACACATACACACGCATTCACGTCGTCATATGAGGGAAATATTCTCAAGCACGACGTTAAACCCAATTTCACCTCACCTCACCTACTGAATCCTTGTGTCTGTACCTACTGAATCCTTATGTCTGTACCTACTTATGTCCTTGTGTCTGTACCTACTTATCTCCTTGTGTCTGTACCTACTTACGTCCTTGTGTCTGTACCTACTGAATCCTTGTGTCTGTACCTACTTACGTCCTTGTGTCTGTACCTACTGAATCCTTGTGTCTGTACCTACTTATGTCCTTGTGTCTGTACCTACTGAATCCTTGTGTCTGTACCTACTGAATCCCTGTGTCTGTACCTACTTACGTCCTTGTGTCTGTACCTACTTGCGTACTTGTGTCTGTACCTACTTATGTCCTTGTGTCTGTATCTACTTATGTCCTTGTGTCTGTACCTTCTTATGTCCTTGTGTCTGTACCTACTTATGTCCTTGTGTCTGTACCTATCGAATCCTTGTGTCTGTATCTACTTATGTCCTTGTGTCTGTACCTACTTATGTCCTTGTGTCTGTATCTACTTATGTCCTTGTGTCTGTACCTACTTATGTCCTTGTGTCTGTACCTACTTATGTCCTTGTGTCTGTACCTACTTATGGCCTTGTGTCTGTACCTACTTATGGCCTTGTGTCTGTACCTACTTATGTCCTTGTGTCTGTACCTACTTATGTCCTTGTGTCTGTACCTACTTATGTCCTTGTGTCTGTACCTACTTATGTCCTTGTGTCTGTACCTACTTATGTCCTTGTGTCTGTACCTACTTATGTCCTTGTGTCTGTACCCTACTTATGTCCTTGTGTCTTATGTCCTGTCCTTGTGTCTGTACCTACTTATGTCCTTGTATCTGTACCTACTTATGTCCTTGTGTCTGTACCTACTTATGTCCTTGTGTCTGTACCTACTTATGTCCTTGTCCTTGTGTCTGTACCTACTTATGTCCTTGTGTCTGTACCTACTTATGTCCTTGTGTCTGTACCTACTTATGTCCTTGTCCTTGTGTCTGTACCTACTTATGTCCTTGTGTCTGTACCTACTTATGTCCTTGTGTCTGTAACCTCCCCCAGGTGGTATGCAGGACTACAACTACCTCCACAGCAACTGCTTCGAGATCACCCTGGAGTTGTCCTGCTGCAAATACCCCCCAGCCTCGGCTCTCCCCACAGAGTGGGAAAACAACAAACTGGCTTTGCTGGCCTACATGGAAATGGTGAAGATAATTTTTATTGTTTTATTTATTTTTAATCTACATTGTTCAAAGGCGATATTATCTGAACTGTTGGTTGAATTGTCATTTTACTACCCACACCTAATGATGAAGTGTGGTAATCATAATCATCATGATCATATGAAACCAGTACACTCTCCCTGTCATGTGTGCTGGTGACAGCTATCAGTACAGCAGATAACCCTTACTATCTCTAATACATTCAGTTACACCTGTCTGACTGACTGTGATCACGGCGGGGAACACCAGAAATGGGCTTCACACATTGTACCCATGTGGGGATTCGAACCCGGGACACCTGTCAGAGGTGAAGGGAGGTGGTCAGCATGGTCAAAGATGGCTAGTTTATGAATGAAACCAAGATGGAGCAAACCATTTAATGTGACAGCAGACCGGTTAGTGTTGCAGTGCTTGCTGTCTACGTTGGTGTCTGCGTCTAGTGACTTACATGACTCTGTCAACTGTTATATATTTCTCATATATTCTATTCAGCTGGTTTAAAATTCCTAAATTTTGATTATGTTTACAGCCTATAAAATCCTTTAAGAGAAGGCATTAAACATGATCTCATTGATCTGTGTTTTGTGGCCTAGCAGTTGGGGAGTTATGATATCTGAAAAGTTACACCACCAAACCAGCATATAGTTCTATGAGCACATGAGGGCAGAAAGTGGTACATTGCGCTCTTGACAAGTTTGGCACAGAGTGAGTGAGTATGGTTTTGCACCATAGTGACATGGTGGAGTAGTGACCTGGTGGAGTAGTGACCTGGTGGAGTAGTGACTGGATGGAGTAGTGACATGGTGGAGTAGTGACCGGGTGGAGTAGTGACATGGTTGAGTAGTGACCGGGTGGAGTAGTGACCGGGTGGAGTAGTGACATGGTGGAGTAGTGACCGGGTGGAGTAGTGACATGGTTGAGTAGTGACTGTATGTAGTAGTGACATGGAGTAGTGACCGGGTGGAGTAGTGACCGGGTGGAGTAGTGACCAGGTGAATTAGTGACAGGATGGAGTAGTGACTGGGTTTAGTAGTGACCGGGTGGAGTAGTGACCGGGTGGCGTTGTGACAGGATGTAGTAGTGACCTGGTGGCATTGTGAGAGGATGGAGTGGTAACTGGGTGGAGTAATGACCTGGTGGCATTGTGACAGGATGGAGTGGTGACTGGGTGGAGTAGTGACCTGGTGGAGTAGTGAACGGGTGGGGTAGTGACCGGGTGGAGTAATGACCGGGTGGAGTAGTGACTGGGTGGAGTTGTGACATGTTAGACATGCTCTTTACGATAAGTACGGGTTGCTGATGACCAATGCCAACCTGGACCTTCACGGTGCTATCATCTGAGAGTGAGAACAATGAGGACTGTGGTAGAGGACCCACCCCACCAAGCAACATATTTCAGGCAGGGTTCATTTACAATAATGAGTCCAATTGTTCAATTAAAAATACATACCATGCATTGGTATTTTTTGTTATGTACACCAGCAACTCAAAGAATGACAATATTAACATAATCACCACAATAATTAAGTATAAACAATCAGATGTGATTATGAAATCAATTCTTTTGTTGTCAAATAACAATCAGCTACAATTAGCTCTCTGTCCATTTTTACACAGGATAATATATGGTTGACAGTGGTTGGTTGTTTGGGAAGAATTTGTGGTAAATCTGGAAACGTGACTGCTAATGACCTATATTTTCATTAACAGTGAGCACATGCTGATAACATGTATATGTGTATGGACATCTTACATACAGTATGGACATCTTACATACAGTATGGACATCTTACATACAGTATGGACACCTTACATACAGTCTGCACAAGTGTCTTTGTGATCCCACATGGAATTGTCTGATCTTATTCTGACATTTTACCTCTACGGTACGGACATCTTACATACGATCTCTCACATTTTGTAAACTATTCTGGAACAAATGTGAAAGTAATGAAAAATAGGGGGAACACCTAGTGATACAGTTTTAAACTAAGGGACTGTTCATAATTTATGACTTGTGTGGATGATGATTTATATGGAGAAGCATGTACAATGTGAGTGAGTTTAGTTTTACGCCGCACTCAGCAATATTCCAGCTATATGGCGGTGGTCTGTAAATAATCGAGCGGTCCCTAAGTTCACATATTTATTCCAATGTTTTGCAGCTGTGCCATGTGATCATCTTTACCCAAGCATTCAATTGATTATCTTCTATCTGTAAACGATAAAATCTACATTCATAACAAATTAACACCTGGGATCCATATGATCGTAATGAAATGATTCATGTGGGAATATATTTTTCATTCAGAGTTTTCTAATCTAAAGAACCATATTATGAGTTAATCATTTACATAAACATAATGGAACATGTGAGTTTGTAGAAACTGGACCAGGCAGTTAACAATAGACCTTTCACGACAACCACTAGCAGCTTCACATGTACACAGTGGTACTGTCTGGTGTTTCTGGTCTAGTACATGCATACACACACACATACATACATACAGACAGACAGACAGACAGACATGCTCAAAGGCACTTTGTTTTTCCCTTGATCACTGGATGTCAATCTCAACGGCACGTCGTATTATCAATCTCAACTCACTGGGGATGATACAACTCTTGCAGCCACTAAGCGCAACGAGTTAGTGTGGCTTTCCCATCCTTATGAGGTACCCATTCACCGCTGGGTGGACTGGGACACATAGTCACAGTACTTTGTCCAAGTGTACTGCACGTTGCTGTACCCACAACTAGGTGTTTGCACGTATTCATGTCAGGCCTACCAAAGAAAACTTTCCCACTGTGCAGAAAAACGCAGAAAAGCCCACATTAATCGTGGAAATAGCAACATAAACACATTACCTCGCTACTGAAACAGTAAAAACGGCAACGAAAAACCATGAAACTGCAACATTTTTATATCAGTGAACTTTGACCTCTACTGCGCATGCGCATTACGATCCGGGCGTCTTTCCATATTCTGAGCAACCGTGAATCGCTTCACGTAGAAAAAGTATTAAATATGTCGAAATAATTGCTGTCAATCGTTTCATACGAATGAAACGTAAACTAAACAAGTGTGCACACAAGTATCATGATGATAAATGCCAAATAACACAACAGAAATACTTAAAAAGGAATGTAGCATTTGCCCAAGCTGGAAAATGTCAACATGCGGTCGAGACTTCCTCTTCCATGTGCGCATGCGCAAAATTGAAGTTGTGGGCTCCGCGTTTTATGATGCAGTGTTAGCGATTTGAAGTTGCCGTTTTTACTGTTTCAGTAGCGAGGTAATGTGTTTATGTTGCTATTTCCACGATTAATGTGGGCTTTTCTGCGTTTTTCTGCACAGTGGGAAAGTTTTCTTTGGTAGGCCTGCATGTGGCCACCATCTGGTCATATACCAACGGATTTGTGGGTTCTTTTAAGTGCACAGGGTTGTGTACTGTACACTAGGGGTTGTGACAACACTGAAAGAGTCTGCACACAAAGTTGACTCCAGGGTTTTTACACCCTGTCACAGGTGGGCTCGATCCTGGCACCTCAAGCTTGCTTGATCACTAGCCTGGCGCCTTAGCCAGCTCGCCCACCACGCCCCCATACATAGTATTGAGGTACCGGTATTCCCAACTGAGTGGAATCATCCACAGGCAGTCACTCAGTTTCGCTTGCCTCTTTCAAATCTCCATAGTACAAAAATCTATATATACTATTCACACTTTGCTAAGGATCAAATCATTGATTCAACAGAAAACTATGAGGTGGGGTCAAGTTTGGTTTAAATATCTAAGCTAATTGTAAGCATGGATCCTAGATTTCAGTATGTCCCTGCATCTTGTGGATCCCATACCTGCTATTGACAGGTGTAGTGTACTTGTCATTGACTCGTTCCATGATTTGCAAAATTGTTGATTGGTGCCATGAAAACCATTTTTATGGTTTTTCATGTATCAGGTGCATAAGGTTAGATTAAAGTGGCTGTTTTCCTGAAGAAGGGCTGCCATATTATTATTTATCCAGTTTTAAATGGAGACAATTTCAAATTATAAATCTATGTTTAAGTAGTGTTGGGAATTTTTGTGACCCTTAGCAAAGTGTGAGTAGAATCTAGTATAGTTTGACAAAGGTTTGCAATTCCAGATCTTTTCTGCATTTGCTTGAGGCAGTTTTGCAAAACAGCATATGTTACAGTTATAACTAATAGACTAACGCTTAGTTTCTGAATATATATAATTTTCATTGAAACAAATAAACCCATTTAAATTGAAAAGGAGCCACAGGGAGATAAGAGATTTAGAACCTGGGGAAATCTAGACTTGATTCATTTAGGGCTTTAGCATTGCAGGGAAGGCTAGGATGTTGAGGAAATAATATGGTTCAGGGACTGTGAGACTGTTAATAGTGTTATAAGTAGTTACATGACAGTAAAATAATTATGATTACCATATTCAGCATGCACAACTGATCTGGAACACCTGTGGCGGTGTGGGTATGGTCCTCCATACATCACAGTGTTAATCAGCATAACAGTACAGCACAGATGCTTTCAATGACAACATTGTAAGATTGATTTTCAGTACTTGGTATAAAGAGACTGCTATTGTCCTGTCCCCCAGTCTGTATGTGATGTACACAGCATGAAAGTAATAAGTACTTTGTTTGTCTTTACTTGTCTGTATGTATGTCTGTGTTTAACACTCACCTATAGTCTGTGTGGGGAAACATTTCTTCATGTGTCAGATTGAATCGGAGGTTTAGAAGGATTCAACAGTTTCTAAAAGTGTGAATGAGAATTTATGTACTAGAATACATTTATAAGATCCCATATGATAATTTGTTAATCATGTTATCAGCAATGAGAATTGGTATTATTTGACATAGTTCCTACTTCAGGCGGATGTACATGAAAAGAACAACTGCACTGTGTATGTACTACGTTTGCACACCTATACACTGGTGGATCAAGGGTGGGTGGT